CCTGATCCGTACAACTTTGATCCCCCATTGCCAGCAAGGGAACGACGTGATAGCCAGCAACAGGAAAGCCAGGAGTCCCAAGTCCAGTACGAACTACATTATGCAGATAAGAACTATTTGTGCAACTTGCATTTTCTGGGGTGACCAGAACTATAGAAAGTACAAACATAGCACCAAGGGAGTCCAGGCTGGCAGGAAGAATGTGAAGACCTAACCTCTCAGGTGGACCTCAGAACGGCGTGCTGATACTTCATTAGGAAACCTACCTTCTTCAGGGTTAGGTCTCCTGAACAAGGCAGGTCTCCTAGTGAAACGTTGGCACGCCACTCTCACATCTGCCTCAAGCTCCCTTTTCACATAAGCATAGAAGATAATTTTTCAACTGAAATGTATCCTCTTTCAGATGCACATGTGGAAATTGCCCCCAGGAGGTCGGGCAATGCTGCAGGGACATGCCAAAAATCACACAAAAAAACTTGGGAAGGTGTGTCACAGAAAATGAACTTTTTCTGCTCGTATGTCTGGATGTGCGACTGCTGAACATAGCGTACGACCAGCTGAAATTTTTTCGCCCAACATATTTGGAGCCAGCAGCTCGGGATCGGAACAAGTAAGACCAGAACTTTTATAGCATATCAAATATAAATGCACTACACTGTAAGACAGTCTGTAAATCCCGCTTAGTGTATTGGCGACTCCAACAAAATCTATCGACGCTGCGTAGCGGCACCGCCGAGAAGCTCCAGAGAGGAGGTCATTTTGATTCTGTCTTCTGCTATCACAGCTTGGTTCTTGTAGGCAGCGTAGAAACAAACACTGTTTCCAGTGATTATTTTTATGCTTCTGCCATGTCATTCCCATGCATTGATTAGAAGGTTTCTACTGTCGAAAAATCGTTTTGCTTTCTTATGTAACACAGATGTTATGCTGCAATGCAAGATATTTATGGTGGTCCGCGTGCTGAACGATGAAAACGACGTCCTTTTGTCCGCCATTTTGCCTGACCAGCACACCCCCTAGACTAAGCTGGAGTCGCGAATATTGCAAACGTTAGTTGTGCTCATGGTACCTTGGATCGAAGAAGGCACATAGCCAGGTGTTTGTTTTGGGGGAGGGGGGAATATTGAATTACCTAAATTGTTGTGTCTACGTGTAGGTTGAGCCGAAGAAGACAATGAATAAGAATGAACGAACTGAGCTCTGAATGGGAACAGCTTGCCTTCTGTTAAACTTGCATAGACAGTCCCTATACATAACAATTGTCACAATCGACAGCTTCAACTCGATTATAAAGGTTGATTCACCCGTCTTTCCTACCATACCCAGGCGAGCCTGCGATTTCATGGAGGAATGGTACGCCAGTACACGATCCCTTCCAATGGGTCGACAATAGATAATGGCAGAACTGCCATTCTATTTAGCTCACTTGAAGTTGAGAGTCAGCGGATCTACTGCAAACTGCCGGAAGATTCTGCCTTGTCCACTGCTACCACTCATCTAAGTGCAAGTACTGCAGGAGCTACCTCCGAATCGCGCAGACCTGCATCGCCCATTTCCAGAGCCTATGATGCAGTGGCAAGAGAGTTACAAAAATTCTTGACAGTAAAACATTGGAAAGATTTATTTTTCGTTGCACACGTGGATGACCGGCCAAAAGAGTACAAGAGTGTGTCACGTTCTCCGGGGCCTTGCGACAAACTGCTGGTTTGGGACAATAACAGATGAAATAATCTGCAATCAACTTGTCAATAAGACAATTCATGCCGAAGTATGAAACCGCCCACTACTAGAGCTTGAGCTACCACTCGAATCAGCTCTTGCCATCACCTAAAAAGTTCAGCGGGCGATGAAGGAGGCCAAAGTTTTTACCAAAGATGCGGGACTCAGTTTTCAAGTGGCAAAGATTCAAGCCCAAAAGAAACCAATAGTTAGGGGCAAAACACCCAATCAAAGGTCGTCCAGCATTTACTGCAGATCTGGTTCAATGTGCCACATGGCAGACTACCCTAAACGTCCTGCAAGGAATCAAGCATGCAGAAAATGAAAGATTGGACATTTTGCCTTTGTTTGCAAGCAAACAGTTTTGACAGGATCACAAGTACCAAGCATAGAACAAACTGAAATATAGCAACTCGGATATTAGCAAACTGTACCACATGCAGGATACTTGCGTTCCTTTTTATCAAACTCCTAGTAGACACAAGACCCTCGGTTTCAATCCTTCTGGAAAGCGTCTACAGAAGATGCTTCCATTCTTGTAAGTTGCAACCTACAAGTACTGCATTCATTGGCTACTCCGTAAGAAAACATTGCTATTCCAAACATTTTGGAAAAAGCCAGCTCACCAGTACAGTTGGCGCAAAGTAATGGCGATTGCACATTCCACGTCGTCCGAACAAGACAGCCCTAATGGGACTATAAATGCTTTACAAGGGTTGGAAATTCAACTGGACTTTTCATCTCCTGCGGATGACAGGTGACTATCATTTCGGCAAACGACCTTCCAGAGGCCGTCAAAGGTTTCCTCCAGCTGTTCTCAGGTATGGGCCACGCCATTGGGTATGTTCACAAGGTGAAGACGAAGTGTCCATCAGTCTGGTGCAACAGAATCTATGAAGGATAACTTTTGCAGTGCATGACAAAGTTCCTGTAGAGCCGGCAAAGTTGGAGCACTCCTGGGTGATCGAGCGCAATAATGCATCACAGACCACTTCCGCAAATCAAACACCTCTGTTGTTCTCAATTCACGCCCTCTTCTGTGTCCAAACGAGCTCCTTCACCAGCTTTCTGGCACCCACATCTTCAACCAGTGGGACCTCTCGTCAGCGTACCACTAGCTGAACCTGATAGAGGAGAGCGGGGACGTCATTGCGTTCGTGACTCATGAAAGTCTCTTCCTGTTCACAGTATGTTTTGGGCTGGCTTCCACTGCTCCGGCTTTTCAAAATATAAAGAACTGTATTCTTTGGGACACAACAGGCACCATTGTCAATCTATCCAGGATGATGTGCTCAACTTCAGTTGCACAACTGAAGAGCATGATGCCCGCCTAAGACAAGGCTTACCCCGCCTACAGGACGCAGGTTGGAAACCGAACAAAAACAAATGCATTTTTCAGTGCAGCAACTTCAATTTCTTGGACATAAGTTGACACCTCAGGGAATTAAGCCATGCCATGATAATGTTCAAGCCACCATGCAAGCTTCTACTCAGAGACATGACATCATAAACGGTCTTTGCTTGACCTGCTTACATACCGTTTCAAATTCATACCTAACTTTGCAACCATCGTGAGGCCCTTGCATGTGCATCTGCGGAAAGATGTCCCCTTATAATGGCAAAAAGCACAAGAGGTGGCATTTGCATCAGTCAAAACACGATTCGAAACTGTTCCATTTAGTTTTCGACGTGACACTGCCTGCTATCGTCACAGGTTGAAGAGAAATTTACTTCTCAGTTTTTTTTTAATTCTCCAGTTAGAATTCTACAATCGTCAGAAAAGATTCATCGGATTATGGATTAGGCACAGTGCTACAGCAAAACATCCAGATGGAATTCGCACTATCCTGTTCACATCGCCATTGCTTTCCAGCGCCCAGTGCAACCGCTCTGCAGAGTTAGAGGAATAGGCGTGCCTCTGGGCCTGCGAGAAGCATCATGTTTTCCTCTTCGGTCACCATTTCATGCTCAGGATGGACCACCAGGCTCTGGTTACACTACTCTGTATTTAGGGAAACGGTCGACAACCGATAACAATTGCCGGGTGGCCATGCGTCTCCTCAAGATCACCAAAAGGGCAATGAGAATGTTGTGGCAGTCGAGATTTCTCGTCTTCCTGCATTTAATTCCTCAGATTGCACGAAGTCATACGTCGAAAAAAGAAAATTCACTTGCCCTGTGTGCAGTCTCTGCTGAATTGACCAAGAAGAGGTACAGAAAGAGAAAGAACAAGACCCCGATTTACCTCGGGTGATAGTGTGTCAACATGGGTTGGGGTCTCAAATACCTATGGGAATCAGCACTGTCTCCCACTACAAGATACGAAAAGAACTTTCCTCTGTATATGGCTTACTGCTATACGCAAAACTGCTGGTTCCTTCTGCTTCACTCAGACGAATGGTGTGAACCAAAATACAACTATGTGAATGCTTCTGTGGTGGCCCAGAATGGATAGCGAAGCCAATACTTGTCCAAATACTGTCACGCATGTCAGACAACCGACAAGTAAGCAGCGAAAGAAGGATCACCTCTACAACCAGTGCTTTTTCCAATAAGCGCATGGAAACAGCTTGGAACAGACACTGTGGAACTATTCTACAAACTTCTCTCACCATTACCGTTTTGCAACAAACTAGTTCAGTAAGTAGCCTGGGGTTGCTTTCTGTAGTCAAGTGACAGCAGAGATTGTCTGCGACTTCCTAATAACAACATTGAGGTGAGAGGGACATCCAAACATTACTGCCTTGGACCATGGCTTACAGGTCAGGTCCCGCACAACCTGAGAGTTCCTCAGGTCGAGGGACTTCTCATCATCAGTCTGCAATTTGCAGTCCACAGGCGAATGAACGAGTTAAAAGATTTAATTGAATTTTAAAATTGTCTGTCCAGTCAATCACTCAAGAACGAGGAAACACCCATACAGGCAGTAGTGAATTTCTTCTCTATAAAAGCACACCAGAAGCAGCGGCAAAGGTTTTCACGCATGAAATTTCTAGAAATGTCTAGATATCATGGGCTTTCCAGGTTTCGAAAAGCCTTTTCCTATAGAGATGCGGCAAAAGGGTCCCCAAGTTCACAGTAAAAGGGTAGCAGATGAAGTCTTTCTAAGACTCTTACCAATTCTTCTGTTACTTTCTCAGACGGTACAGGTACACGGCATACAGCCAGTTCGTCTGGTGGATTTGGGGACGACTGGGCAGGTTTCGCCGCGTCAGGCTCCCGTGCTGTGTGGTGGCCAGGATAAGAAAAGAATTCCCATCGACCACATACACGGGCTTCCACTATGCTTGATCGAACCGGGTCCTGTGGGCCAACACCGCTGCTTCCTTGTCTGGCCTTTGTGCAACGCTGCACAGAGGTGGTCGACGAGGACGCGGCCCGTTCGCAGCCACAGCCTGCTGGTAGGTCCGGGAAGCCTTGGCCAACTCCAGGCAGGAATTGAGGAGCCTCTGGACGTAGTCTGAGTAAGAAAGTGTGATAGTCAAGCTGCAGCCAATGTCTGAATAAAAGAGTCTGTATTTACCGTACGACGCAGTCTCCATGATGGGGCTGAGGACCCATTCGCCTTTCCGTGACTTGGGAAACTTCAGACAACTTCGCTTTTTTTCGTCCTTCGTTGTGGCCTGCGCACGGTTGCTGTTCTCATTGTAGTGGAGCACCGCGACGGCAGTCCTGTGAGGGCCGCATATAAGGGGAGGAAAGACTGTAAACATGCCCCAAGCATATTTCATATTAGAACTTTTCAGAAATTTTCATACTGCACAACACATGCTAGTAACCGTATCCACACTGGCAGGCAACCTGTCGTATGCTAGCAGACCATCCTCGGGAACATGGCCCTGCATCGTTTCACACACTAGCAACCCATCCTATTCTCATTGATTGACTCACTATTATTGTGATCAAAATTAAGTCGACACTTCTCATTTACTGTAAACGACTTATTTTTCGCGGTCTCAATATTTCTTGATTTTGGTCGAAGCTCAAGCTTTGTAATAATTCGCAGGTTCTAAGTTTTGCGACACAATGGGATCTCAATGTAGATTCTTATGTGCTTACATTCTACCAAAATTGTTTGCGGGACATATTTTTCGCAAATTGTAGGCGATTCACAAAAATTAGGCCTTCGCGAAAATTAAGTTGTTTACAGTTCAAGATGCGCTGCAATTTGCCACCATTGTGCGGACACAAGTATGTATGAAAAATGGCTTCCCTTCGACTTACGGTAACTATGAGAAGCTCGTTAAAGACGAGGGAGATAAAGATTGTACAAATTGACGTAGGGCCTCGCTCCTAAAAACGGTATGTGCACTCGCTCATCTGCTAGTGTACATAAGTGCATCCCCAGAATTTTCTGCGTGAGTGGTGCACAGTAGAAATTTCAGAAAAGGCTCATAAATAAACAAATATCACTAGCATATATCAGGATGCCTGCTTACCGTGCCACCATGCCCTCAAAACTGAAATGACTGGATTTCGGAGTAAACCGGAGCAGCATGCTGTGGAACGACTCTAGGCGATAGGTCTGACCGTCTCCAGACACCCTTGGAATGTCCTTGAGCAGTTGCTTGGACATGACGATCTTTTCGAGAGCCACGTATGGCTCGGTCCCTGCGATAAGAGAAAGTACCGAAATAACCCTCAGGGTGTCTAGCAGGTTATTACAACTCTACAACGGTCCCTGACCATTGTAGAGGTGGTTAAATATATCAGATCATTACAACACAAGGCATTGAGCATTCAGAACTGTAACAATACTTTCGCACGGGCTGAACCCAACTTGCATATTCCGAAATATTTGGGTTCGTCCTGTCCGGATTAAATGAGCACTTTCTTGCCCCCTGACATAGTCAGTGAAGAAGCCACTTCCAGAAACACAATAAAAACATGACGCTGAACCAGACATGTTAATAATTACGAATGGCAGCATGGCATAGCCGCCAGATGCACACTTTCGTATACTTTTGGCTTGGATTGTATTGGGGTCTGCAGCTTTCCCATTTGTTAATAATAATAAATCTAGTAGCTCTAACTGGATCTAGTCTAGTGTCGCGCCCTCAATCCAATCCAAGGCTTTTACTGGATTTGTCGGCGGTTCCCTTTGCATCGGGTATTACACTCTACATCAATTGAGCAGGGCCCGCGGGCTCCGCTCCAAGCAGAATTTATTACCTATTTTTCTGCCCACAGGTTTTCAAGTCTTTGCTCAGGGCACTCGATAGCGTTTCCGGCACATTTTCCCTGACTCGGCTCGCTCTTTGGCAATATCCCTGACAGTCCCCCGATTTTTCCTGGTAATTAAATTTCCCCTGACAATTCCCGGTTTTGCCGGTCTCTAGACACCCTGACCCTTGTAAGTGCTGAGTTTATATCGATAATGACTGAGCAGGTAAGCCAGAGCGCAGCCGAGTATACTCCTGGTGGCACTCAAAAGGTTAAACAGCAAAGCCAGTGCCCATTGCAGCCTGTCCACAAATCACTTTTTTGTGTTGTATACGTGATGCAACTGCCATTTTATTTTTTATCCATCTCTGCAGAAGCTAGATCTCTGCTCAGTAATTCTGCATAAATAATTTTCATATAATCTGCAATTTTCCTTTTTATGCGTCTTTTGCATGTTACAAGTCGGTCTTCACTTCCTCATTCTGTGTCTTTTCATGACCTCAAAAGTGGAGTGTTTTTCTTGAAATATAAGGCTAAAAACATGCAGTTTAAGCCTCTTGATGTAATTGAAATGTCCGCTCAGTACTATGAGCTGGATATGAGATGGAGTCCTCCCATCGGCAGGTCTAGAAGGGGGGGGGGGGGATATCCTGACCCTCCTTTTGAATTCCGCAGGTGTGAAATGCAGAGCGGAAAAGGGGGGGGGAGCATACGAGTTATCCGAAACACAATCTGGTATGCTGATCCCCCATCTGGAAACACTTGCATTCATCTCCGATTCCTCCTTGTGCTATTTGATTGTAGACTGGCCAGAGCAGCCAAAGGAAGTCTGTCCTTGTTATGAAAGCTTCGCCGACAACTGGAGTGAAAAGAATGTTATGAATGTTTAAAGAATGAATTTTTTTTACCTTCCTGAAGCCACCAGCGCTCTTCGATTGGGCCATGGGTGCACGCAGGGTACAGGGGGCTGGGGTGCTGATGGACGTTGCTCACGTGTCGCATTACGGACACCCATTTTGCGAGCACCAGCGCGCCATTGTCACTGCTGGTCTGTGCACACCAGTAGACGTGTCCACGTACAGTCTTCACCCATGCATTCAAGATGCTGTTCTTCTTTGTCTTGCCTGCAGAGGCCATCTTGCTCCCAATGCCTATAAATTAGAAAGCCTCCATGATTATTAGCTCAGCACCAGTCTAGTTTGGAAAACAAGTTTTGATATTAGATACACTAAATATATGAAGCTATAGTAAAATTGCATCTAGATACTGGTGCAGCATGGACAACATCGTCAACTTTAGTATACCATATGACGTTTGAATAATGCCACATGTATCTTGACAACAAAGCATGTTGCACTATAGTTCATTGCGCCAGCGATCATTAACTCAATCGTGATCGGGCGGTGTTACACAGCAGTGCCATCTACCATCAAGCCGCTAACGATCATTGAATTCAACTGAGCTCGCCTACCTCAGTTAACTGATGGGGGTTCACCCCAAAAGAGCTAAAGATGGCAGCATTCACCACTGATAGCCAGTGCTAGCGAAGCATTTACTATTGCAGAAGAAGGTATCTAAAAATTATCATAGCAGCAAATATTATCAGAAGAGGTATGATACGAAGTCAGAGCTACCACTAAAACTATTGCGAAACGTCGAGGAAGTGCGGCCATTGTGATGTCGGTGGCAGTAAGACTTTCGTTGTCACTCTTGCTTTAAATTTCTGTGAAATATTCCAATTTTCGTTTTCTTTGTTCTCAAAATAAACTAAAATCTATCACTCTGAACGACTTATTTTTTGCAGGCTCAATATTTTAAGATTTAGGTCAAAGCTGAATTTTTGGAATAATTTGTGGGTTTTCATTTTTGCGACATGGTGGGATCTCAATATGGGCGATTCGTGAAATTTAAGTTGTTTACAGTATATGTCAAGTTAAACTTTTTTTTGTGTGTGTTTTGTGAAACATGTTACACACAATTATCCTCAATACCTTTTTTTCTATCATGTGGGTCACGTGACGTGCATCAGAACTCGGGTCATTAGGCCCATGTACCGCGTAGCACCAGGCAACTTAGTTGAGCTCAGTGAGATGTCCATGATCCTTGACTCAATGATTGTTAAAACGGCCCATGTACAGGGGTATTGGAGTTATCAATACTATTACCTTTTGCGACATGCCATGCGTCGAACCGGTGCTTCGTGTCGGGGTACCTGTCTCTCATCAGGGCATTCACCCCAAAGTGCCGGTCGGTCACAAGAACATACACAGACAGCCCCATGCTCAGGAGGAAGTCCAGAGAACGTTTCAGGCCCTCCGTCTCCATGTGGTTGCTCGACTTGACTTCTGTCGACTAGGGCAGAAAAAGGTGCCGTAAAATGCATACCTGATCCATGTGATGCATTGAGGTCATCTTATATTTAGCCACTTCTTACCTGAAGAACCTCGTAGTGCATGATCTTGTTGATGCGGGTGTCAAGCAGTGTATACGTCCCATACTTGGCAGAGTAACCAGGCGAGTCAGCACGCCCATCGCCTGCAAGGTGGAGCTTGTCTTTCGTGGCTGTCAGGAGAGACTCCTGTTCAGCTTCCCAGGTCTTTGAAACAAGAAAACTCAGTGTCAGGCTCAATCAGTGAACATGTTTAATGAACGGACAATCTTGTAGTCACTTCTGCTCACCTTTGTAGCAGCAGGAAAGACCAAAGAGCTCTGCACCCGGAAGAACTGAGTCTTCTTCAAGACTTGCACGCCTATAGATCCCAGGAGGCGAAGAACGCGCGTTGGGCTGGCTCCAGAGTAGGTGATGGCAGCAGGCAGCAGGATGTTGAGGAGTGCCTTGCTGTTGATTCTGGGCTGGTTCTCCCACACAGTCTTGTGCCCTCGTGCACACGTGATGACGGCGTGCACAAGGGTCCCTCGATGTGTCAGCTTCGTCCGTGTCGGAGCCAGGCATTTGATGCAAACCGAAAACAGCAGCAGCAGCTGTGATGCAGTCACCAGGTACTTCCTCTCCTTTACCGGGTCCACTGCTGCTGAAGACGTGCTGCACCCTCCTTCACTGTTAAAAAAAGAAAAATAATAAACCAAAAGATTATAGTGTGGAAATTTCAAAAACAGTTCTTTTTTAACGCTTCTAATTTTTTTCTATTCTGCCATCATCTCTCACAGTTCTTTGCACAAAACCGGGATATCTAACAAGCTCCTCCTTTCATATTCATTGACCTTGCCAGGTTCTCCCAGACTATCTCTATTAAATTTCCTGGCCGTTATTTCAACCTGGTCCGAATAACCAAGTGTGATCGTCGTGCTTTTTATAAGATGTACTTCTAAGGCTCCTCCACTGCACCATAAACTGTATGTATGATAAGAAACACCCATGTAACCACCATACTAAAGTTTCATTTAGGAACTGGTAGTATAATAAATTAATTAATTATTCATTTAATTAGGTAATGGCTTGCACTATCTAATGATGTTTCAGGGAACATTATTGGGTGCAGCTGTGCCGATGTGCGACTGTAAAGCTTCGTTATTACTGCCGTGCCACTTCCATTTGTCATTTCTCCTGATATAGCCAACCTTTTGACTGTTTCCCTTATATTTGTCTAACTTTTGCAGGTGAAGAAAAGCCCCAGATAATTACAAGTTTTCCAGATTGGTAGACCTAGCTTAATCCTATTCATAAAATGGAGTTCTGGTTTCTTAAAAATTACAGTGGACACATACTCGACATCTGTTGCACCGTCCGAGTGCACAGAGTCGTTGGACCAGATGCTGGTGTCGGAATCCGGTTCATCATCGGAGTTGAAAGAGTTATCCGGCCTGTAACTCTCGTCCAACAGATCTGGCTCAGGGCAGATATCTTCATCGGAGTCCAGGAAGGCGGCCTCCGTGTAACTGGTGTCCGAAGGCGATGCCCCAGGTTCTGAGGGTTCGGGAGTGGCATCCCGCTCCAACGACAAGGGGCTTGGCGTCTTGTCCTCTGTAGGCGTAGAGCACCACTGGCGCAATTCTTGCTCAACGTCTGCAGAATTCTCTTGGGCTTGTTGGGGACTTCCGGGAACAGCTGGCTCGCTCCCCAAAGGGCTTTGGCCAACCATGCCTGGAAAAGATTGAATGCCAGAGCAAACATTATGGTGTCAAAACTGCTTAACATGCACAGTAACAGTGTGCATGACATGACTCGTGATGCAGTGCAGTTTTTGCAATTGATGAGCAAAAATATATATCCGTCACTCTCACCCTTCCAAGTTTATTTTGACGCAATAAAAACATTAGGTCCCCACCTTTCTGCCATGCAACTGCAAATAGCCCAGGCTCAACGAAAGATGAGGGAAATGCATGAATGGCCACAGTCAAAGGTAGTGTTATGAACTGGTTGGAACCAGTTCATGCTTGGTAGCGGCAGTAACCAAACTAATATCTAGCAGGCATGCTGGAACCAAGACCAAACCACAACAAAACACAAAATCGGCGGTTCAACACCATGGTTATGATATAACGGTGGTTCTGTGTTTTCAAATAAAGCCGATGAAATCCAAAAACCATTTGCCTGTAAAACTTTTGTCAATTCGAATTCATCCGAAAAAAATAGGATTTTGAAGGTCACACCGACCGGGGAAAAGAAAAAAGCGTGCAATAAAGATCAGGTTGGATCAGTGCGAAGGGTCGTCGGTCCTGAGAAAGACGGTGGGTGTCTGGTTTTGCAGAGAACAAGGCAATGTATTTCTAGGTCACGGCAGAAATAAGGCTGTACGTCTAACGGTGCTAGCGGTTGTTCCAGTCTCAAGTTCAGACCATAGTCACCATGGACAGCATAGTTCCATCAGTGGGTGCGGGTAAAGTGACTTGAATGGGGGTGTGTGAAGCTGAAGTTGCTATACTACTATGTTGTTCAACCTGCGCTTTCACGGCACATTTCTGTGGCACCTGCAACAGCGAGGCGACATTTACTTTCATGCATATACAAACATGTGCACTTGTATTTATTACAGCAAGCTTGTAGTAAATACAAGCACACTTGCTTGTTTTGAAATGCATAGATGAGCTCATTGTAAATATTTCACACTATTAAAATTTGTTTTCATAGAATAATGAAGTCCAAATAACACTTTCCAAATTTGACAAAAATAAACTCGGGGAAACACGGACATAATGCATCTATGTTATGTATACTATTAAAACTCTCGTCACAATTGTATTACATAGATAGCACTATATTCTTAAGCCACCACAGCTACTCACCGGAAGATGTTGGCAGTGCCGGATTTTCAGTCGAGGTCTGACAAAGCTCCTCGAAGGCTTGCACAGCTTTGTCCACAGACAGTGTCGGTGTACCTGGCACACCAAAAAACATTACATTTCAGATATAGACTCGAATAACATTGCACAAAGAGAGAGAGAGAGAGAGACTGATAAAGCTATTCTGTCATTACACGATAAGGTGAACCAAGTCACTACATACCTCTCGTTACCACACACATACAGATGTGGCAGATGGGCGGCTCCAAGTGCGGTTCAAAATGGCCATCAATTGCAGTAGTTGCTGGCACGGTGTCGCATAAAGCGGCGGTGCTGCTGTTGCACCCTGGCCCAGAAGCGGAAGCCTGGTCCCCGCTCTGTAAAAGCAGTGCGATAGTTACTACAACCGGTATACACCAACTCATGTTTACAAACAAACCGGAGCGCCCCTAGTGGACGCCACCGGCGCCGCGTATGCGCGATGGGGGTGTGGGCAAGAAGCTCACCGTCGCCCATAAACAAACCATTGAAATGCGATGTTGTCGTCGTCGGTGTAAGTTCCCGGGCTCTTTTTCGCGTTGGAATTGTTGATTCTACGTCCTCCTAACGATGTCCGACTACTTGAGCGGCGTCAGCGAAATTAATGAGGCTTGTTACACCGCAAAACTTCGCGTGAATAATCTGACATGCGGCGATTCATTCCGCGTGGACGCCGCAGAATAGCTAGAGCCTGATTCACATGATGAGATTTCACTCGCAATTTTCAATAGCGACGTCGCTCGGACTGCAAAAGCGTGAACCGTAGCTGAGATGGTCGACGTCAATACTGAAAATCGCAAGCAGAATCTAACCAAGTGAATCAGGCCTAACAAGTCGGTGATGGCCACTGGTAACAATGATCAACATCTCCTCGTATCTACTGTTTACATCGAGCCTGCTTACCAACCTTCAAACTTAAGTCTTTTGAGGCCTGCACTTACTTCTTATCGCAAATGCCGGGCCCACGTTTGGTCTACGGGCCGGTGTCCTCTAAAAGGGCAGACGACAAACAGAAACGTTTGAAAGAGCAGACGACAGTTCGAACGATCAGGCGACCGTTTAAACTTGAAGACGCACTGAACGCAGTTCGCAGGTGGTCCGTACAACTTGACGGTTTTCCGGCATTCATTTTGGAACAAAACAAATAAATCTGATGGCCAGAAGTATCCGTGAATTCAACCCAAAATGCTTCCCGCCCAAGCAACTGACCTTCAAACCTTTCTCGACCCTTTTGGTACAGCCCCAGTCGCAGCATTTTGACAAGAAGGCAGGTTTTTGTCTGGTTGCTTTCAAAACAACGCAGGAATACACGTCTCAGATGGGCACTTCCGCCCACAGCCCCGGACTGGAAGTGCTTCCGACGCGCCACAACCGCGCCGTGACGTAACAGAAATGAGTTTGTGTATACACGAACTCAACTCTGCGACGTCACGGCGCGGTGGTGGCGCGTCAGGCAAACGTCCGGTCTGGGGCCGTGGGCAGAAGTCCCCATGCCAGACGTGCATTCCTGCATTATTTTGAAAGAAACTAGACACAAACATGCCTTCTCGTCAAAACGCCGTGACTGGGACTGTACCAAAAGTGTTGAGAAAGGTTTGAAGGTCAGTTTTCACGTGCTCGGTTCGCCCGAGAATCTGGATATGTGCTGTGAAAAGGGAAAAGCAGACGCCGTCGGACAACGATTGCTTGGGCGGTAGGCACTTTGGGTTGAATTTGCGGATGCTTGTGGTCATCAGATTTATTTGCTTTGTTCCAACATGAACGCCAGAAAACCGTCAAGTTGTGCGGACCATGTTCAGTGCGTCTTCAAGTTCAAACGGCTGCCTGATCGTTCGAACTGTCGTCTGCTCTTTCAAACGTTTCAAGCGTCGGTGTGAGTTCCCCTGCCCTTTTTCGCGTTCGAATTGTTGCCCTGGCAATCTCCGACTACTTGAGCGGAATCAGCGAAATTAGCGAGGCTCGTTACACCGCAAAACTTCGCGTAGTGGTGGTCCGCACAACTTGACGGTTCTCCGGCGTTATGTTGGAACAAAACAAATAAAGCTGATGACTACAAGTATCCGTGATTTCAACCCAAAGCGCTTCCCGTTCAAGCAATCATGGTCCGACGGCGTCTGGTTTTCCCTTTTCACGACACATATCCATGTTCTGGGACAAACCGAGCACGTGAAAACTGACCTTCAAACCCCTCTCGACGTTTTTGGTACATCCTCAGTTGCGGCATTTTGACTAGAAGGCAGGCTTTGTGTGGTTCCTTTCAATGCAGGAATACACGTCTCGCATGGGGTCTTCGGCCCACAGCCCATACCGGAAGTGCGCCCGACGCGCCACCACCACGCCGAGACATAACAGAGTTGCGTTTGTGTACATATAGGCTGGTTTCACATGATATACCTTCTGCTCAAACCCACGGTAGAATTCTTAGTTTGTGGGCCTTAGCCCTTTGCTTTCCTGCGGGCGGAAACAATGTTTTCCAACTTGCGCAATTTTTTTTTTTTTTTTTTTTTGCGTTGTGTTTGGCTGCGCCAGTCAAAGAAGTCGGCAATGCAAAGGAGCGTCGGCTGGTACTCAATTTTCATACATATTGATATTTATTCGGAGCTTAGAGGATCTGTTACTTGAGGAATTGGCTCACTAGTGGCCAAAATGGCCCCAGTCGGTGTTGCGGGGCCACCTTGATGGACAGAAAAGCGTAGTGAACAAAGGTATGTGAGGCCTAAGAGCGTCTTCGATGGTGCTTCTTGAGCTCTGCCGTCGGTAGAGATGCTGATTAGGTTTTGTGGGATTCACCAACACCGCAAAACTTCGCTCATAAACAAGCGCCTCCACGTAACGAATAGGGCAAATGGTGGATGCAGCCCGCGCCCCCCCCCCCCCCCCCCCCCCCCCCCTGCACTCCGAAGTGCAATCGAAGGAAGTGAAATTTTGTTTTTTGACACCACCTTATATCAAACAATGCAAGACGCTGTTGATGATTCACTTTTTGGTTGCGGGCCAAGGACCTGCACGTTCAGTATTAGTAAACATGTTTCGTTACTCATAACAATGTTATCTCCATAAGATATGGCTAATTTGTACCAATGAAAACAAAAATACGTACTTGGCTAAGGCACGCTGTTCTGGCTTGGTTCTGACCAACAGGTTCTTCTCGAGCCACTGGTGCATCCAGCGATGACTCATATGTTGGTGCTTTGGAGTCGTCATCCCATGTAGTGACCACTGGCAAGCTACTGCTCTTCGACACTGTGCTGCTGCTGCTGCTACAGTGGTCACCGCTCTGTGAAACCAATCGGTCAATATTTATTGTCTTTGATTTGTTCATAACACACCCTATAGCCTAGTTTAAGTGTAAGGGCCGCGCGAAAGTTATAAAATAATGAATGAATAAACATTATCGTAGGGATGGGTTCCAGCACCCCCAGGTGAAGCCCAAAGTCCGGGGCCTCAAAAATGGCGGCCACCAATTTGGCACGGTCCACCTGCTATTGCTGGCCAGTGGCCGCGTCATCGGTCTGCCGCTCCTCCCAGGAGGTGGGGGAGGGGTTGGGAAGAGGCGAGACAGAGGGAATGTCCTGGCATTACCAGACCATGTGGAGAAGTGTGGGAAAAGAGTTGATGTCATAGAACGCCCTGTCGGCGAGTAAGAGAAGGCTGAGGAGAATAATGTTGTTCAGTTGGTCGGATGGTGGCAACCCCATATCTTCCCCATATTCCCGGTGTGAGAGTTCTCGGGCGAGTACACAAGCACACTCATTACCAGGGACAGCTGTGTGTTCAGGGACGGCTGCGTGCCCAAACACACAGCCCAGGCACCCAGACTAACGGGAAAGTGTGGGAGGTGGAGTATAGGAAGGAGTCGAGTAGGGACACAGTGGATAGATGCAAGGTGGTGAGAAGGAAGTGCCGGCAGGCCGTCTGGGAGTCAGCCAGAATGTTAGTGGGGAGGAAGAGGAGAGAGTGGAGGTGGAAAGAATTGCCATGTGCTAAAATGACGATGTGCAACAAGTGTCAACATAAATACCAATTGGATGCCTATATTAGAATATCTTGGTCGCCAAACAAACGAACAGTTTTCTAGTCTAACTTGCAATAATGATCGGATATATTGTTCAGATTACTGGTTTTGAAAACAACTTGTTTGCTCTTAAATGTACTTTCTACTGGTAACAGCATAGATTATTGAAATATATTAATATTATAGTACATAACGGCGGTGTTCAGAGTTACGGTTCCCAATTTCAGGTTCGGTTCAGTCCTGGGTAAAGTTCGTACAGCCGTTTGAGCGTTTGCAAGAGCACGCCAGCCCGCGCGCGGACACGCGCACTCACTTCTACTGATATATAGCACAAAACGTTCGCGTGCGTTCACGTGCGACGTGCTCGTGAATGTCGCCTCAACAGGCTTGCGATCGCACGTGCTCGCCCGCACGAACAGAGACAAAAGCATCGGCCAGCGCGACGTGAGCGAGGAATATACGTACCCCGGTCCGACGACGCTTCACGCATGATTCGTCTGCTGTTTGGGGAGGCGAGGATCGAGGAACGAGGTACGACGACACGGCGTCCGGCGTCAGTCCGTCGGCTGTTACGGAAGGCGAGGATCCAGGATCGAGGATCGACGGCACGGCGTTTTGATCCAGACGCGCGTACTTGGTTGAAAACCCAGCGTCGCAGAGCAAGCGCAGATCTCGCTGGTAGCATTCGGGCAAAAAGTGGTCAGAACAGATCAATGTCCTGCTATTTGGCGACCACGGCTTCTCGGAGTTCCAACGGCGCACGATGTCTGTCCAAACAATGAGACGCGCACTGTCGCGAGGGAACTTGTGAAAAACAACTCCCGGGCTGGTCGACTGATAGTTCAAGCAGGCAGCAACACAACATCGTGAGCCTATGGCCCTTCTGCGAGGCATCGCAGCTAGGCTTCGGGGATGCTGCCCGCGCTCGAACCGTAACAAAACCACAAAACGCCGTCCTCCTACTGCTCCTACTGCAGCAGAGGCGAAACGAGGAAACGAGTGCGTCTGCTCCCAACTTGGCGCATGCGTTTTACGGTGATCATGTGGACAGAGCCAACACGCAACGCCGGGAGGAGCCACTTCCACTCACGACGTCTTCGTTCAATTTCGCCCGGAGAAGTAAAAACAACCAAAACATAGAACTGACATACGCATGCCTCTGACGTAGGTGCTCACTGTTGGCTGCGCCAGATCCGTGGTATTGACAGCGCTGTTGATTGCTCTTCACGTCGCGCGCTAGAGTTAGCAGATTTCGGCGACTTGGCTCGTTTGAAAGTTTGCTGGCCAGATTAATAAATATTTAGACGGAATTACATCGCGAAACTTGGCATGTGGTCTTCCTATATGATGCTGAAGAGGGCTACATAGTTTTCTCAATATCAAAAATGAAGCGGAGTTGCCCTTTAATATAAAACCTTCCCACCGCAAGCCAATGGAGTTTAATTTCTTGCCGTCTTTTTAATGACTGATTGATTGCTAATACGGTAACATTTTATCTCGACACACATGCTGCACCCTATTTACCTAAAAGAAGAATAAAGGTAACTATTGACTGGTTTAGTGTAACTGCTGGAGAACTAGTTTATTGGACATGCTGTTGTTTTTCATATAGCTTACGTACAGTACGAAAAGCGACAGCCTAAAAGAGTGTCAATGAGGCGCTGTGTGTTATACTGAGACAGGACGTTCCTTAGCCTTCACGAGATTCTCGCGTATGGCTTTGAACCCGTCGGGGTGCATTCTCTTTGGCCATTCATGAACTGCTGCGTGAGGTTCTCCTCCGTCTCCAAGGCCTCGATGAGCCGGTACAGGTCATGATGTTGGAACCCGAGCGAAGACTGAATACACATGTGCGATGCTTCTACTCTGTTGCAGGCCTTAGGAAGCTCGTCTACAAAGCGCTAATGTCAGCTCCATTCTAAAGAAAGGAGTCAATGCTCGCTCTCTTCAGGGTAGTCCAGAGTTGTGCTTGTGGTTATACCTCGAAAAGAGTCATTTTAGTATAGTGCTTAGTGGAGTCAATGGACTAGATTTGCGCCCACTAGAGTCTGGTGACTCTTACCCAGTTGCGTCAGGTGACCCGCTTCCTGCCTGGAGTGGTCAGCGAACTCTCCCCAACAGAATCATGCGACTCTCGGTTTATTAGAATCACGCTAACCCACAATGAGAGTCTCCAGATTACATCTTTTTAGATGTAATCTGGAGTCTCTTTACGGGCGACCCTTTGCAGAGATTTTGGCCTCGTGGGTTTTCGTCGCCGCGTGCGCAGAGGATAGAAAATGTTTTTCTCTCCCTTCTGGGCGCGAGGGAAGGTAAGCCGGAACTTTCCGTTGGCCGTACCGCGCGAAGAGAGTAGCCCTGGCGTCCCGCCAAGGATGACGCGACGAAGGTAAAATCTTCGTGCCGTTTGGTTGAAAGACTTGTTTTCAACCATTACTCGCGGTCTGCGAAGTCCCACTTTGGCAGTATCCAGTTGCTACGCATAATGTAGGATTCATAATGTTGGACGGCTTTCGAAAATTCCGCCGCGCTTACCCACTTACTTCACGGATCACTGGTGGCGGTCGCCAGTGACATCCCCGACGGCAACCACGACGGCTATGAGAATTCACCACGTCGCACCTCCGTCCTCAGGAACGTGGCGGCATCATTCTACCCTTATGACGCAACCGTGCTACAGCTACCCTTTTCGTTTCTTCGCAGATTGTGGGCGAAAAATACAACTTTTTTAACGGATTTGAACGACCACCCAAAGACAGCATGCATTTACGTCCGTGCTTTTTTGTTGCCGTGTTGTTTTGTCGCGTGCTGCTTTCAAGTTGAAGTTCATTAACAGGATACCTTGCTGGGCTGGTTGGTTGAACGACATAATGAGTGTCCTGTTCCTCTTGCGCTGTTTCTCATTATGTCAAGTTCATTACCCTCAAGGACATTATTGTGGAATGCATTACATGAGGTGGGAGAAACGAATTATTAGCGACAATGACTACAGACTGAATATATTAAACCTTAATTGCACGTACACACAAACAATACTTAAACATACAAAGGAAAACCATGCACAAAGATTGGTAGCACTGGAAATTGATACTAATATAATAAGGCCAATATACTGCACATTAATCAGGTCAGTAGAATTAAACATTTCTTGCGAAATACAGAAGGATTTTGCTCTTTAGCAATATCGTCAGTGAGGGAGTTACAGTTGGTAATAGGAAAAATAAGTGGTGAAAATTTTAATCTTTTAGTGCAACCGAATATTGGCTCAACCTTCAGGGAATTATCATGGCGCAGCGAAATGTATGAGGAAAACTTACAGTACATCAGCATGAAAGATGGCATATTATAATCTATCTAATGAAAAAGAAAAAGACGAGATAGTTTGCGAGGTACATCGAGGGAAGTTAGGTTTGAAAGGTCCTTCAGTTGGGACACGCTGCTTTCGAAAGAATAGTTACTAGGAATGAATCGGGCTGCACTGTTTTGAATTGCCTATTGATCAGGCAACACTGGTGAGTGTCCGATACCGGGCTGGAATATTCAAGTTTAGATCGGACGAGGGTTTTGTATGCCATTAGCTTTACACCCTGTCGGGCTTGGCAGAAGGGCCTCCGAAGAAAACTGAGAGCTCTAGATGATTTGTTAATTATGCTATAAGTGTGAGTATTCCAGGACAGATCCTTCGTCAAAGTGATACCTAGATAATTATAAGACGGTACATGGGAAATTGCAACACAGTTGTAAGAGTAGGATGGAATATATGCTTTTAAACGATTCAAGGAGACAATATTTGTTTTCGACATATTAATATTAATTTTGACACGTACTCTTCTGACGTTTTGCTGTTTCGAAGCCGCGCTGTTTTGTCGGGTGCAGTTTTGACGCGTGCTGTTTTCACCGTGCTGTTTTGTCGCGTGATGTTTAGTCGTGTGCTATTTGGTCGTGTGCTGTCCTGTCATGGTGACCACCATCCCCTGACCACGGTGATAGTAGAGAGAGGTGTCCGAACGCCGACGCTTCAAGAACAAGTGCATCTATAGGGTTCGCTCGCATTTATGTCATGAGATGCGCAACGGAGGCTCAATGAAACCTGCTTATTCGCGCATACGTTTTCAGGTCGCGCCCAGCACGGCCTGTGCTGGGCGCAACCGTGCATGTGTGGAAGTCCCTATACCCAGAGTACCCCTGCCGGGAGATGCGCGAAGCCCGAACGAGCTTTTGCCAACTTGACTGGTCTTGTTAGTACACCTGTCTCTTCTTCCACCGCGGCTCTGAGTCCACCCCATCCCCATTAATATCAACTCGCATCAGCCACAAACGGTGTTCAGTGTACGAAGCTACGTTTCTGTTACCCCACAGAAAATCCCCTAGACTGTGACTGCCGGGTCAGCTTTTTGATGAACATCACCGATTCCAGTGTACAGGGATATTGCAACACGCCCCCTCGGCTGAGTGGCCGTGGCCTAGACACGCTGATGGCACCCGATTTACATTGCTACTTTCCTTAAACACACGAGGTGAAAAGGAAAAAAAAAAGAATAAAGCGTTTTTTTTGTGGACTCTGTGAGCTGTGCATTGTTTCTTGCGGAAGGTGGGCGCCTTGCGCTGATGACATCTCGGTCATCCCACTAAATATATTCATACGAAAAAAAAGCCACCGGTTGTCAAGTTGGAGGCGGAATTTCATAGCTACCCGCGGCGCATAACCTTGATGGCCTCCTGTTAGGAGGTCCTGGTAGTATTTTTGCAAATACTTGTCTTCTACAACCATAACCGCATCGAAGTCAAAAAAAAAAAAAATTAACTCGTCTCGATAATTTTGATAAATCCAGGGAGCACAAAATGTGTCCTACGTGTACTATGCGTGCCGCACACACGACAGGCTATTCTGTTTTCCTGGTTTATCAGAATCATCGAGACAAGTTTAAATTACTTTAGGAGTAGAGTGTCACGAGCATGGTTTCATGAGAGGTGTTCCATAGGGTTTGTTTCATTGATGGGTGCGTGTAGGAATTTGAATTTGTAGTGCTCCCTGGACTGTGAGGAGCCACTTGTGGTAACTGAAACAATCGCGAAAGAAGGACCTTTACCGCACCCTTTGCTTTATCAATTGACTTTTGCCTGAGGTTCTGACGTCATTCCTCGGTAAGTTATGATTCAGCCCGTGACGCAGAGTTTAGGTGGGGACCTAGGCTTTGTTGAGAATTAGCGACGCTTTCCGACGGTCGCCTGCGGACTCCGTTTCACTTTTAAGCCCGCACGCAGCCGACTCTACGATTCGACGAAGCCAATCACGCATTGGCAAAACTGCGTCGTGAAGGGTTGCTTATTGTCTTTGTATATTGGCTATCGGGGACTAAACAAATCACGCACAATGAAGGCGCCATGATATTGAGCCATTTTCTTACGTGATTGATTTGGCGTGTGATAGGAAACCGAAAAAAAAAAACGAGCGCCGTGACGATGCACGTTTTGCACTGTTTGATTTTACTTGGCTTTAAGTCCAGACTTAGCTGACGCTACGAGTTTATAAGACCAATCAAACAGCAGTCGTCACCCCTCGGTAAAAAGTACTTCAAAATCGGTATACTGAATGTATACTACTAGCATAATAATAATAATACGAATAATCTTTTCTTTTTCTTTTTTCATTGCAAAACGAAATAAAGGTGGAAAAGAGGGCAAAAATCTCCTACTTCAGCTTGACGAGGCCTGAGGCCCTAGTTACCATACACACCTTGACGGAAAAACAGCGTAAAATAAAAATACACTAGGCCGAAAAAATCAAATATACACAAGCACAACATTCCAATCATTATACTTAGAAAGATAACTAAAAGACATATGCCATTCAGATTAAAACAATTTCAGAACACATGCGTGACACTACACGGTATCATACAGAAAATGGGATTGTAGTAGCATGTCCGCTAACATTTGATTTCACTTTCCAAATATACACACATCATCTGCTTCAAGTTCATTTAGTAATAATCGCAACACATTACTTTAATCATGTAAAACCATAATTAGTACGGTGTGTTGAAACATTCCAGGTCTCGCCATGGCGGGTAACATATTTATGATCTAACTTAGTTAAACATGACAATGCAGACATGAAAAAAAGTGTTGTTGCGTTTTAAGGCTACATTATAAGTCACTAACAATCGAAACCTGTGCAGCTGTTCAATAAAAGTTACAAAATTACACGATGCTTGAAAAAGAGTTTCTTAGAAGGATCCAAAAAAGGAAATATCTGAAACGATTTGAATATCTCTCTTTTGGGTTAGTAGTAGTCTTGTTAAGTTATGTTTTGTTGTTAGGCCCCAAACTAAATGGCAATATATACGTAGTGAGTCTAAGCTAAAGAGTAATATGAAAGCAATTTTACACTTGTTGGAAAGGCATAACACCTTCTACAAAGGAGACCAATAGATTTACTAGCTTTTGTATGGATATATTCAACGTGCTCATTCCATGATAGTGATTCAGTAAAAAGTACACCCAGTGTTTTTATCGACTTTACCACCTCTAGTGTGAATAAGCCTAAAGTTATTTGAAACGAACAACATATTTGTCTACTTCAAGGTCGAAATAGCGCACATTTAGTCTTTCCAGAATCTATTTTTGGTCCATTTACTTTGGTCCACAAGTCAATGTTTGCAAGAACTCCTATTGCTTCTATATCATCTGCTATAGCCGCCTTTAATAAAAATAGTCGTATAATCGGCCTAATTAAGACACAAGGTTTGCATGCGGTACGCAATTTTCAATGTCATTTATAAAGATTATAAACAAGAGTGGCCCGAGCATACTACCTTGAGGTACACCAGTTTTAATTTTTTGAATGGTTGAAATATAGTTATTAATATTAACGAACTGCGTGCGGTACTGTAGGTATGACTTAAATAGGTCTAGAGCCGTTCCACGTATACCGTAATTTTCTAGCTTCATGAACAATGTTTTGTTATTAATTAAATCTAACGCTTTGGAGAAGTCAATATATACACCCATGATAAGTTCTTTATTCTCAAAACATTCTATAATTTGTTGCTTCTATACTAACAGTGCTTATTCAGTTGAGCGATGTTTTGGGAAACCGTGCTGACTATTAGAAATTATTGGAGATTTTTCTAGGCAAATATAAAGTCTTTTATAAATGATTTTCTCGAGACCTTTAGAAAAAAATGGATAAAAGAGAAATATGTCTGTAGTTTTTAAACGTATTCTTGTCCCCATCGTTAAACAAAGTGACAATCTTAGCACACTGCATTGCTTTAGGAAAAACACCAGAAGAAAATGACAGATGAAATGTGTACGTTAACACCGGTACCACTATGTCGAGAGTATTCTTAATCACTTTGATGTTAAGATCGTCTACATCTTGACTCCTGGAGTTTTTCAAGTTTCTAGAAACTGCAGACACTTCATCCTCATCAATAGGGCTCATAACAAAAGAGTTTTCGAAAATACGGTTTTATATAGTTGCTAGCGTCAAGCCCATGTGGAGGTGTAACTATATCACTTGATTGGCTAACAAAATAATTGTTAAATGCATTCACCAAAGCACAGCCGTATAAATGACCGTCTCCGCAGTTTACATTATCTAATATTTGACGCTCGTGGTGAGGACGCAAAACCTTATTTACCCTTTCCCAGAGTATGCGCGAATTTTTATTATCATCTTTTGTAAAGAGGGTTGTGTTCAATGCGGACTTCGCGCGTCTTAACGAGCCAGTTAGTTGGTTACGATACCCTTTGAAGGATCTTAGGTCTTCGGAGTCTCTTGTATTTAAAAAGAGCTGGTACATGCCGGTTTTCGTATGCACTTTGTGTAACAAATCTTTCGTCATCCACGGCTTGCGCAATTTTTTAAACAGTTTCACGGTTCTATAAGGAAAACTATAATTGTACAGCTTTTTATATGTTCGTAAAAAGGATTCATATGCACAATTGGCATCTAATTCCAAGTAAACTGTTTCCCAATTTACAGCGAGTAAAGCAACTCTAAACACCTCCTACGTGACATCAGTAACATTTCGCCCTTCGAAAGTTTTTTTGTAACAGTCTTTTTCTACTGCACGAGGTTTGTTAATCAACAGAAATATTGGTAGATGGTCGCTGATATCAACGCTAATAACATCAGCTCTTAGAGAGGTTACATCAGAATTAGTGAGAAGGAGATCAATTAAAGTTGACGTGGAGCCAGTGACTCTTGTTGCTTGCGTTTCAATATAGTCAAAACCATTTATATCAATCGCCTGCATGAAGGCCTGTCGCACTGTTGTGTTCGCAAGCTTCATGTTAATATTGTAATCACCACCAAGAAAAAAGGACATAGCGGTTCACTGTTGTAAAGTTGCAAAAGATATCCAAGAAATCAACAAATTTGAATACATTTCCGGATGCTGGACGATACACAACGGCGAAAAGATAATCCCTGTAACGTACACGCAACAGCTCATAATCTTCAGTAACTTGGGTGAATTGAGATATCACTTCACACTCTAAAGCATTTTGTATAAGCAAAGATACCCCACCACCTCTCTTCCCTTCACGGCAAAGCGAGTAATGCTTGAACTGCGGCAGACTGAAAACATTTGAGTCATCTTTATACCAAGTTCCTGACAGCATAATGACATCAAAAGAAAAACCAAGATGGTCAAAAAGTATACCGAGGTCATTAACTTTAGATTTCACAGACCGAGCGTTTAAGTGGAAAAACGATAAACCAAGAGGTTGCTTTGAAGCAGCAAAGTTTGCAAAGTCAATGGGTGCAATGCCCATTGTAGAAATAAAACACTAAAAAATATTCACCCGATAAGGTCACCTAACGTCCCAGTACACGCAAGTCATCTTCGCATGAAATTGAGATTTATTCTACACCATGAAACGCTTTCGGTGAAAGATTGAGGTTGTTACATGAAGGCGCCGATTTCTCCAGCCAATTTCAGAGCGAGCTTCCATTCATAACACAACTTCACTTGTGTGGCTCAGAAGTTGATTTGCGCTGCATGTGACTATGCAAGGTGGAGCATCTCATAGCCCCACTATTAGCCGTGGTTTCTTCGGCCTCCTGTTTTTTTGCTAGCTGTGGATGCAGATATCTGAAACAGCGTATAGTGCGCTGAGACCTGCATTACCAAAACACTAAGTGTCATGCCAACATAATTTGTCTACTAGCCTATGAGTCTGCTTGCAAGTGGCAGTGTACTTTGAAAACAACTACAGACATCTATTTCCAAGCTAAAACACCGTGGTATTCTTCATTACCGCTTAAACTGAGACACGTTTTTAAAAACATAAGGAAATATAAGAATTTTCCCGATGAAATCTGGGGAAGGGCGGCTTGGGAGGTTGGCGGTGGTTGGCAACGATTGGTTCATGCCTCGCTGGTGTCGCTGTTTGCGATTGAACATAATCCAGCATCGTGTGTGAGCTAGCATGTAGTGTGTGAGTAGGCGCAGTAGGAGTGAATGGCGTCAAGGAAGAGATACCTGGAAGACGATGCACCTATCGCGTGCACAACTTCCTGGCGCAGAAGTCGCGCACTTGCTGAACTCC